AAATTCACAGAAGGGGGCCAGACATTGGTAGTTCAGGAGACGTAATTTTCGGATTACTTGTTTTGGAACTCGAAGTCCTTCAAGAGTTCACCTCATTTTTAACATGTTCAATACAGACGGGGTCTGAGCTCTATCTCTCTGAATAAAGCCTCAGAAAGGCCCCAAAGCATCTGCCCGATACTCTTCTAGTACAACTGATACACAGGAAGGCGCCTCGGCGCCCACAGCGCCTTTCCGAGGCGTTCTGTCTAGGGAGGGACATGGCTTCGAGAAGCCTCTGGCTGAGAGGGCTCAGCGCGCAGATGAAGATGAGAGCTGCCCCAGGGCTGCTTCTGATCTGTCTCCATCATCCTGGCCTCTGCAGTGTCACTGCAGTGAGTCTGCCGTGTCCCACTCACACCCTCTGTGCTGCAGCCACAGAGCTTTTCAGATCTTCCCTTCGAGAGTGTTTGCGTTGATTTCCACCGGTGGGGAGATGACGGAGGCCGGGGGCTTTGATCCTTTTATCCTAGATATCGTAGGGATGGGGACAGGCCAGCAGGTCCTCAGGCTGACAGGAGGAGGCTGGTGGAGAGGGAGAGACTGGGCACAGGCATTTCCCCTCCACTGGGTGCCTCTCACGTGGATGTGTCTGGACAGGGAGCTTCGGATGCTGGTTGATTCCTGTTGGGCTAGCTCTGAGCTCCTGATGGGGACAAGGACACAGCTTGAGATCGGGGTTCGGATACGAGCTGGGTTAGTGCCAGTGCTCGGGGTTCAAAGGTGGACAGGGTTTGCTTCGAGATCTGGGGTTCTGATGAAGGCAAGGTTTACTTTCTATTTAAGGAAGGGTCTGTTCTGGGATGTGCAGTCCTTGCATCTGTAGGACTTGTCCCAAGATTTGGGGGTTATGCTGTAGCCCTGGGTAGTGTGGCACCTGGGGGTGATGAATTGAACAGGTCTTCCCTGAAATTTGGGGGTCTGACACAGACAGGATTTGGTCTAGAATTTGGGGTTCTGATGTAGGTTGGCTAAGGGATTTGGGTTTCAAATACTAGTACAAGCAGAGTTGGCTTTACCATTTGAGGTCCTCATATACAGTAGGCGAGGTTTATTTTGAACCTCAGCTTCCTTACCTGGGTATGGTTGGCTTAAATCTTGGAGCGCTGATGTAGACATGGTTCCCATGGAGAGTTGGGGTGCAGATATGGGTAGATTTGACTTGATTTTGGGGTGCTATTATGGTCAGAGTTGGTCTCATGCTTTGGAGCCCTATGAGGACACTTGCTTGGGGTTGGATTCTGGTGTACTCAGCCATGGTGAACTTGGCATTTGCTTCAGCTGTGGGCAGAGTTGGCTTTGAATTTGGGGTCCAGATGTGGGAAGTTTGTTTTAGGGTCTGGCATCCTTACGAACATAGTAATGGCTGATGGATTGGGGTTCTGATGCACAAATGGTTGATTAGAGATTGGGGGCTCAGAATTGGGCATGTCTGCTCTGACTTAGGGTCATGATCTGGGTAGAGTCTGTTGCAGGCAGGGGCAGCTTAGAGACTTTATTTGAGGTTCAAACGTGGGCATGGTTTGCCCACAGATATGGGTCCTCAAGGGGGCAGAGTTTGTCTCAGGCTTCAGCGTTCACCAGTGAACACGGTCGCTGGAGGATTTGGGGTTCTGATGGCCACTTGGATAGCCTGGGATCTGGGGTTCAGTCTTGGCCAAGTTCCTTGGTTTTGGGTCCCAACGTGGGCAGGGCTTGTCCTGAGCCTTAGTGTCCTTGTGTGGACTCAGTGGCCAGAGGATTTAAGGTTCTAAGGCAGTCATGGTTACCCTGAAAATTTTGGGTTCAGGCTTGGGCAGGTCTGTTCTGGATTTGGGGTGCTGAGGTGAACGGGGGCTGTTTCGCTCTTTAGCGTCCTTGCATGAACAGTTTCCGAAGGATGTGGGGTTCTGAGGCATCTGTGGTGAGCCTGGAGGTTTGGGGCTGTCTCGGACAGGTTTGTTCTGGGCTTGGGGGCAGGTTTGTCTGGCCTTGGGGGTCCTTGTGTGGACACGGCTGGCTGGAGGATTGGGGATTCTTATGTCCATGTGTCCAGCACAGAGACTGGGAGTTTGCTTTGAGTTTGGGGTCCTGCTGCGAGCAGGTCTGCCCTGGGTTATGGGGTTCCACTGCGGAAGGCTCTTTTAGGGCTTGCAGTCTTGTGTGGACACTGTTGGCTTTGGGACTTGGGTCCCTGATGAAGACTTGGGGAGCTTGAGGGTCTGAGCTGCTGGGGGTCCTGCTGTGGCAGACCGTTTGGGGTTGGGTTCCTGGCATGGGCAGGATTTGCTTTGGGATCGGAACCCTAAGAGACAGGGCTGTTGGTGGAGTGGGGTCGTCCTGCGGACAAGCTTTGTCTTGAGATTTGAAGTCTGATGTGACTGTCTGGGACTGGGAGAACCTGTGTGGCCAGGGACTGCTCTTCCACCTGCGGGTTCCAGGGGGCTGGGTGTGTTATGACACCTGGGGGTCCTCACTGGGCTGCTTCCCTTTGGGGTCAGCAGGTTCAGAGGGGACTGGGCGCCCGGGGCCAGGGAGTATGCAAGGCTAGGGCAGGGGTTGAGAAGGGGCCACCTTGGTCCAGGTACTGGAGCAGCTGCAGGTTCAAGGGGATGCCGGCTGTCAGGTCCAGCTGCTCCTTGAGCTCCTGCACCGTCATGTCGCCATGGCAGTCTGTCACTGTGAACATCTCCCCGGTCTCCTCCAGCAGCACCCGCATGACAAAGACGTCTGGGGCCAAGTCCAGTGCCATGTTCACGGCCTGCGGGTCCCCGCTGTGGCTCAGGCTGTGGGTGTGGC